ATATTATTGAAATATTAGTGGACCTCTCTCTCACTCTCGCGCGCGCTCTCTGGAACATGCTGACTACCTTTTAATATTCAAACTAAATGAAAAATATCAATGTCTGAGCAAAATATAACCATACAAAGATTGAATAAACATATATCTGACCTTTAGAGATTTACAAGTTAATCGCTCGCGATCTACCCGATGCGCGATAATGATTATATAACACACAGAATATATATTGAAGCCTTTGTACTAACTTTAAATACTAATATTTTCATTCGCTGTGTTTTTCTGGTAAGCTTACTGTGAAATTGATTTGAAAAACATTTTCGTGTATACTCACGCGTAGAAATATACACGGAGAAACGTGCGTTGACGTGACGTCACAATGAGACTGCATCGACGTTGGTAAAATGCAATAATATAGGACAGCGAGAAATTCAAATATTGAGCATATTTTAGTTGCTTCCAAACAGATAAAATGTAAATATAAGGAATGTTTTTCAGTTAAGTGTGAATTATTGGTGTGTGAATCACACAGACTTGCACATAGGCATATTTTTCATGAAGCGCTAGCGCGCTTCATGAAATATGCCTACGTGTCAAGTCTGTGTGATTCACACACCAATAAGTCACACAAAACTAAAAAACATTCCTTAAATAATGTTATTTGTTTATTTTTTTCAAAAATTGATATTTTTTGAACATCTAGAGTTATTGATCTACAATCACCACGAGTACGAAAAATATTTTTACCTAAAAACTTTGACGTCATTTACTGTACATTGTGACCTCACGAGAAAATATTGACGACTTGTCAAATGTTGAGATAAAAACCCAATGCAAATAGACCTTATGGTTATAACCTGGCCACTTTGGAGGGCTTTCTAAACAGTGGTCCACAATAGATATGCAGATGTGGAAAGCATAGACTAACGCGAAAAAGTTTCTTCATTTTTTTATGTTTTTAATTGGACTAAGAACTAGGCTATATTAGAATCTGTTTAACCTAGTAGACCCTATTTACCAGGCATAAATGATGCATTTATGCTAAAAAAGGATTTATGGTTGTGTTTACATAATTTACAGTAACCTTTCTTATGAATGATTTAATCTTTTCCTTGCGAGGTTTTATTAACAAGGAATTGTATAAAGGTAAATTTGCTTTCTGCATGCGCAGCTGAGCAAACGACATTCATAAATATTAAATTTACACATGGGGCGCATTCCTCTCGGAGAAAAAAACTTGTTGAAAAATACGCTTAAGATACCAATGTTTGATTTTATACTTGAATTTTTTTCCGAGAAGAATGCGCCCCACTTGAAATTTTAAAGTGAATCTGTGAAATCGGTGGAAAATTCCGGAAAAGTCAAAACCCTTATAGGTTTTAGACGTTACAAATGTATATAAAAAACAAATCATATTTAATGTGAGCTATTCAAATAATCCAGGTCAGCATTAGTATAACTCTTTTTTGTATAAGGGCATTATTAATAGTAAATACTGGTTTATAAAGCAATACTATCAAAGTTTACCCATTGCAAATAATTTTGATTTCTGAATGCAATAAACTCGCCTGGAATGTGACACCCATAGTTTCTGTAAAGGAAATAATTCGTCATTAGTAACGCAGGAATGTGACTTTCTGTTTCATTAATATACGACTTGATCATGATTATATTGTTTGATTGATTTATCTCTGAATCAAATGTGTGATTTTAAACACATTTTATGTCTATCAAGAGCTGCGTATTAATGATTATTTGTTGCTTAAAATTATGTCAAGTAAAGTAGATACTTACATAAAACAGCTTTAAACATTATAACTTTAGGTAAAAATGATTATAAATTATTCCAGACCTTGGGTGAATACATGTAACTGTGAAATGTAATGCATTAAATTACAATTACATTGGAAATTTTATCATTACAGTTACCATTATTCTCATTTAGGAAAGTCACTAATTAATTACAATTACTTTGTGAAAATAATGAATTATATTACACATTACATTTTATAAGAGAAAAACACAATTTATAGCTATAAATAAAGTTTCACACTTTGAGTTCAGTTAATATGCTTCCCCGCAGATCTATAAATCAGAGTGGTATTTGGATTTTTTATTCATATATCATTTCATGTATTTTACCAATCCAATCTAGAGTTTACAAAGAAAGTGAATCCGAACATATATATGTAAACTACTATTTTATTAACAGATGATGCTTTAAGTATAAAACAAGCATTAAAGACTTAATGAATTAATTAGCACTTCTAATTAGCTGAAAAGGTATAATCAAAGAAGTTATAAATTAAATACAACCAAATGTAATAATTTACAAGTACCTAAATATGGGATTTAAATTTTGAGGTCTTAAGCTCCCAAAATGAATGATGGTCAATATATCAGTCTATATTCATATTTTGCTTAGTTTCTCTTTGTGTCTATAATAAATCATACTGATGTTGTATCATGATCAGCATGTCCATTTTACCATAATGAAAAGGGGGGGGGAGAAAAAATATAATTTGTATCTTAATTTAAAGTCTCAATATACATGTATTAATGTCTCTTTTTTGCATCTTTCTTTAAATCCTTGCGATTTCTTTTTATATTTTTGTCTGGTTCACTTCAGTTAATTTCACAACTGTCTTGTCAAGACGTTTTCCATGAAAAGAATCATTTTTTTATCTATCAATTACCATTTTCTAATATGCAAAAGATTGCAGGATATAGGATTTCACTTTTAAGACACTATAACATTATTAATTAAAAAAATAACCTCTCAGTGATATATTTATTTGTTTAAGATTTAAAAATAAAAAGACACTGATATATAAATGTAACTGAAATGTGATTGAAAAGTAATTGGTCAATACTGATATTTTTTTTCAAAATAATGCATTACATTACAATTACTTGTAATTGAAAATTTTATCCATTACACATTACATCCCATTACTTTGAAAATATGAAATAATTACAATGCATTACCACAGGTCTGAATTATTCTGATGATCATGATAATTTTTATTTCAATAGTTTTATTTTTTACAAAAGTACAGCTTGTTATTATAATTAAAAGAGTTAATATCATACGATTTCATTTTTTTTTATACATACTGTCCATCAAAAGTGTATACATGAGGATCTGAGCGGAAACTACAGATGCGTCCCTTCCATATTTCATTTGTATCGCGCACTGTTATCTGGAAGACATTTAGAATCGGATTATACTCCATATTTTCAAGGGGGGATATGAAAATAATATATCAAATAAATTGATAAAACAAACAATTTCCTTTAAAAGGTTTGATTGATTTTTTTTTAACACAATATTTATTCATGAAAACCTTATGAGCTTGGCAACAGGCATCGCCGATATTGCCCTGTCAGATTTAACGCATTTCATGAAGTTTTTTACCAATAAATACATACGTAAATGTGTATAGTCTTTATCATTGTAAAAGATGCATTTGTATGGAAAATAAATGATGGGATAAAATATTCAAAGCATAAAAAACTTACTGGAATGTCAGGAAGAACAGCGTTCTCAAATATTTTACTCCCTTTGCCCTCAGTACTTCCTGTTCGCAGACTCAGCGTCATACTAGTACTTGTGACGTAACCATCAGTATCCTTATTGTACACTGGAAATGATATATTTCTCTTCCATTCCTCGGTTTCATACTTGTGCCTTTCACTAAAATTATAACTTTGGACTTGAACAAAGCATTGGTTGGAAGAACCACTACCACTACATTTTGATTGGTAGTTATTATGGAAGTGCATGTATATTGCAAGCGCACTTGCAGGTTGCTCTACTCCGTTTATGATGCGGGTTTCAGAGGCAGAAGGTATTGTCATTTCTAAGTCGACATCTTTCGATCCTTTTCTTTCTAGTTCTATAGAAGGATTGCAAACCTAAAAAGGTAATCTGTTTTCAGTCTCAAAATGTCCTTTTCATAGTTACATATATTTTGAAAGAATTAATTTCTTCAAAGTGGACTTAAAAAAAGCAGAAACCAATATTTTATTTTAGTAGATCTCAAGACATAAACAAAGCAAACTTGAAAAATGCATCTACCTATCCTATTTAAAGTTTACCTTTATTCCATAAAAGAACAAATCACTATCTTTGAACAAACATGGCACTTTTTCTTTATCTCGTTTTGCACCAACTTTACATACAACCTGTTAAAGATAGGACGAGTATCTTAGGCAATTTTGCTAAAACAATGACAATTTATAGCAGAATCATCTTCAATTTATATTGAATAACATATTAAAACTGATTGACTTTAAAAGTAAAATCAGTTGGAGTTTTCTATTGTTGAAAGCCACAGAAAGTGTTAAATTCTTTTCACGTAAAAAGATTTTGAAAAAAAAATTCTGCCTCATATGAATACAAAAATACTTAAAATAGGTCTGCTAATATGGCAAGTCAAACGTTGCAATATTCGATCTTTTCCATTTGTATTGTAAAATTTTCCGTTTGTTATGTATAATTTTTATTTGTATTGTATTTTTTTCCATTTGTATTGTATAATTTTTCATTTGTATTGTAGAATTTTCATTTGCATTGTATAATTTTCCATTTGAATTCTATAATTTTCCAATTGCATTATATTTTTGGCATGTGCATTGTATAATTTTTCATTTGCATTGTATGTTTTTCATTTTTATTGTTAAAAAAAAACATTTGTATCGTTTAATTTTTCATTTGTATTATATATTTTCCATTTGAATTGTATAATTTTTCATTTGCATTGCATAAGTTTTCATTTGCTTTGTATACTTTTTCATTTTTTTTGGAGAAAAAAAAAAATCATTTGTTTTGTATAATTTTTATTTGAATTCTATATTTTCCATTTGTATTTTATAATTTTTCATTTTTTTTGCGTTGTATCCGAGGGATTGTTTTTTTTTTTTTTTTTTTTTAATTTTTTTTTTTTGGTATGTTACGAAGGACTTCATTGGTTTAATCTAATCATATATCGGATTTGGTAATAGACTGGCTGTTCCCGTCTCATTCGTACCAACTGACAGGTGACTACAGCAATAGGAATTTCTCGGGCCTTTCCGACTAGCGGAAAAACGACCTCGAATGTATATGTTAGACGCATGACAACCCTCCCTTTTCACGATCTTTGACATAAATGCATGGACACATTTTAACTGTGGAATATAGAGTTTAACTTAATTCGATGTAATGATATTTCCTAAAATATATATACTATACAAGGGACATCCAGCTCCGTCTATCCTATATTTGAATAAACAAGAAATGTATACATTTTTTATGTTAAAACAGAGGACAAGGGGTGGAATAGGGAGATCCTCCCAATTGGAGGGAATGTGGATTTAGAGGCAAACACCTTATGTAGAGAACTTTTAAAAAGTATCATGGATATTAGTAATAAAAACCGAAAAAAAATTTAGGCCTAGAAATTATCAAAAATTATATATTTGTAAGATAACATTATAACGACCAATGTCTCTGCACTCTGTGATCTGTTTTGGGTTTCCACGAGACATCTAAATTCTACGTCAGCTTGAGTTTTTATCAGCCAATGAGCGCGGCCCTTTACATAACTGTATATCGAGGATCAGACAGGAAAGCCAGTCTAGTTTCCCCTCCTTATCCGGAACAAAAATTGACCAATGAAATCCCTTGTAACGATACAAATAAATAATCTCTCGAATACAATAAAAATTTTTAAAAAATACTTTACAAATGGAAAATATAGAATACAAATAAAAAGTATACTAAACAAATTTTACAATGCAAATAAAAAAAATTATACAATACAAATTGCGATATGCAATACAAATGAAAAATTATATAATACAAATTTTAAAAAAAAATGGAATATTGCAACGTTTGTCATGCCATATCATTCTTGTTAACGAATATTCTTCCTACTTTAAATGAGCATGGTCACAGTTTCAGCTAAAATTTCAAATTTTATTTTTTTCATTTTTACAAATATTTTACCAAGGTCTTTAAATTCTAATGATCATCAAAATTTGAAATTCAGTTCTCCAGATTTAGAGCTCCAAACTTTTCTTATGAAAACAAGGGTAGTGTCATGTTTTTGTTTACACAGGTTGATATACTAATATAAGTTCTTTCAAAGTAAATAATTTCAAATAAAAGATGATTTTAAATATCATTCGACAGTTACTATTGATTTGCTGAATTAATTTTGTTAAAAATTTCTATATGTAAATAAAAACAAGGCAAGGGTCTTGTTTACATTATTAAGAACTCTAAGTTCTGCATCATCAACAAATGATGTTCAATTTTTATCTAATCAATAGATGATGTAGGAATAATAAACATTAAAATTGTTTTTAAAAATTCAGTTGAATCTGTGTCCAAGCCCCTTCGAAAAAAGAAACAGAATTAACAGAAATTTAGTTTTGAAAAATGAAAAAAAACGAATTTTCTCACCTATCAATCAAAGCCACACATTAATTTTTTTAGACATTCCTTTTGATTTGTGCAAAATCTTATGCGTAGAAGAAAACACTTGCTCTAGCCTTCAACCTGACCTGAGATGAACATATGGATATAACGAACTGTATTCAAGATCAACAACAATAAAACAATAGGAGCAAAGCAAACATGAACCTCCAAATCATCGAAAGGGGATCAGGTGCCATGGAGGAGTGAGCATCCTCTGCCAACCGGTCACACACGCCGTGTACTCATTGTCATGATCGAAAAAAACCGGAAAAATCCGTCGTCAATTCAGTGTATAAATAATAGGTACATGTATGATAAACATCAGTCAGCATTTATCATAGAGCTAGGTTTTAAGGTTAAAATTAACGTGATTTTTAAAGTAAAACATCCAAATATTAAACAGATGTGTCAAAATCTGTATCTCAAGCTCACCAGAATATAGCGTATCGACATAAGAATGGAAATTACAATTGCTAATTGACAATACGTCGTCGATAAATGGAGTCGCCCGCGTTGTGCAATGGTTAGAGCGTCTGCTCTAGAGTCGCGGAGAAAGTAGTTAATCATTACGTCGTGGGTTCGAATCCAAATTTGGGCCGTGGTGACCGGTCCTTCGGATGAGACCATTATTAACCGAGGTCCCGTGTCGCAGTAGGTGCTGGCCGAAAAAGATCCCTCCCTGCTCAATGGCCATGATTGCCGAGTATAGGACTAAATTTGCAGCTCTTCACCGGCAAGTGGTGGCGTCTCCATATGAGAGAAAAATGCTCGAGAGGACGTTAAACAATAAAAAATCAGTCAGTCAATCCATATATGGATTTAAAATGAAATCTTATTCTACAAAAATCTTTGAAACGTTCTTTGAAAGTTATGGTATCAAATTTTCATAGAGCTTTTAAACATTTATAAAATATATTTAACTGTATTTTTTTTCCTAATATTCACCAAATTATGTAGCTTGGTGATACATATAGTTTGTAACATAATTTTTTTCTAGTCAGAAAACCGGTCACGGACGGTAGCCTAGTGGTAGAGTGTTCGCTTCGTGTTCGGGAGGCCCGGGTTCGATTCTCGTTCGCAGCGCTGCGTAGACATAAACATAGGTATTGACTGTTCCTTCGCCAAGCGCTCGGCATATTAGAAGTGAAAGTCACGGGACTTTCGGATTTGACCATTAAAACGTACGTCCCGTATCACGGTAGCCGTTGGCACGATAAAGAACCCTCACTGCTCGAAGGCCCTGAGTGCCAAGCACAGGTTTAAATTTGAAGGTCTTCACCGGCATAGGCTGAAATCTCCATATGGGTGAAACGTTCAATAATACACAATCAATGAATCTAGTCAGAAAACTAACTATTTAGGTTAACAGGAGAAAAAAAATCTTATTTATCGGTCTTTAAACTTAACATTACAAACAAGAATTCATTCCCTGTGTACATACATTTGTTCCAATTTTTTTATCAGCACCAAGAACATCATACGCTGTTAACACAGCAGTGTAATTGTTAGATGCGTCAACTGTTTGGTTAAGAACTTCCTGTTCATCAATGTACCACGTGATGTCGTAATACAAGTCCTCATCAGTTTTCCAATTAAATTCACAGAGTAAAGTAACGGCAGGATCATGTTTTACAAGATGATAGCCAGGTTCAGAGAATTCCTGAGTTTTCCATGTGATATTATGATACAATACTGTCACATTAGAGGTAACCCAATCAACACCTATTTGCAGAAAAGAATAAATATAAGACCAAAAGGCCCATATGGGCCACATCGATCCCCTGAGCACTGTGGCTAGGAGAAAGGCAAAACTCAGTCCAGTTTAAAAAAGCTTAAATGCATGTGGTCCCAACCTACCCGTAAAAAGCAGAAGGGGATGATTTGAATTGACATGAATCTACAAATCATGCATATAATTTTTTGACTTACTGTGGCTTTTTCCCTACGAGTTTGACATTTCATTTTGCCCCATTCTATCCCCCGGGGTCATGATTTGAACAAATTTGAATCTACACTACAGTTAATTCTCGAATTATCGCCATTCGATTCATCGCCATTTTCGCAATACCGCCATGATTTCCCAAGAACGTTTTTCCTGCTATATAAAATTCTCTTTATAACGCCAAATTCGCATACCGCCATCCGCCACCCTGTTTTCACAACAAACGTCCATTTTTAAGTGTCAATTATCTCGATATACCGCCACAGGTGCATGTGGTCAGTGAAGCGCGGCTAATTGGTTGACGCTATCCCTGTTGTAAAGCATGCAAAGGCAGACAAGGTACATGCAATTAAGTAATTAAACAAGAATAAAATAAACAATAATTTTAACATGAACTGTTATAATAATTTTGTTTTCTGTTTAATAAAAAATATTTAGTCATGGCTTCGCCACGAAAGCGGTTGTTGTTAAAGTACGCCGGTAACGATATTATTTTGATGATCTCTACTTTTAACAATGCAAAGTTTGTTGAAGAAATAATTATATGGTATAAAATGTGAACGTTTCATTAACAATGATGCCACAAACAATCAATTTATTCAAGAATGCATTTTACATACTATCGGCAATATATCACGACGATCCACCCAGTATGTTTTTTTTTTCAATATCAGACGTGTAGATTTACAGGCATACACATATACTTGTCTTTATTTCATAATTGCACATTTTGTTTTAGCGAAATTGTACATTTAAAAAATTACTTGAAGTATTTTCAATCAGAAATATGTTTTTATATACATGTATATGTAATATTAAGAATAGAAACGCTAAATGGTATTTCTAAGAACGGTAACTCTACTTGTTGTTTTCTAAAAGATGGGAAATTCAATTCATCGCCAAATTCGTTATACCGCCATGATTTCTCAATTACAAAAGGTGGCGGTTTATCGAGAATTAACTGTACATGAGGGTGTTTCCTTCTAAATATGACCAGTCATGGCTATGTTGTTCTTGAGAAGAAGATGTTTAAAGATTTTTCCTTTATAATCCTATTTAAAACTTTGATCACCCAATGTGGCCCCAACCTCTCCCGGGGGTCATGATTTGAACAAACTTGAATCAACACTACCAGATGATGCCTATACATAAATATTATCAATCATGATGAGTTTCTTGTCTCGAGGAGAAGATATTTCCTATATATTCATATGAAAAAGTTTGGTCGTTCACTGTGGCCCCATCCTATCCCCGGGGGTTACATGACTTGAACAATCTTGAATCCACAATACTCGTGGATGCTTCTATATAAATATTATTAATCATGGATTCGTTGTTCTTGAGAAGATTTTACATTTTTAAGGGGCGTTTTTGTTCTTGAAAAGAAGATTTTAGAGATATTTCCTATATATGTCTAGGTAAAACTTTGGCCGTCCATTGTGGCAACCCTGGGGGTCATGATTTGAAAAATCCACAATATTTGTGAATGTTTCTATATAAATACATGTATGACCCATCATGGATTCGTTGTTCTTGAGAAGATTTTAAAAAAAAATTCCCGATTTGTTTCTATGTAAAACTTTGATCGTCCATCGCGGCCCAAACCCACGGGGGTCATGATTTAAATAAACTTAAATTTACATTACCTGAGGATGTCTCCATATAAGTTCCCTCTTTTCTGGCTCATTTGTTCTTGAGAAGAAGATTTTCAAAGGATGTCATTACTTTTTCACTTATAACTAATTATCTCCCCTTGAAAAGGGGTGTTGCCCTTCATTTGTACTAACCTTTGTACAAACCTGAATCTCCGTCACCAAAGGATACTTTGTGGCAATTTTGGTTGAAATTGGCCAGATTGCCAAATGGTTTTTGAGAAGAAGTCGAAAATATGAAAAAGTTTACAGACAGACAGACGGATGCCGAACAGGAAAGTTAATGAAAAGGAAAAAGAGTCAGGAAAAATGAATTTATTAATAAGTTCTTTAGAATAAAGCTTACATTATAGTACTTACAGTAAAGCATGTCCACTGAAACATAACGGAAAAATTTAATATTAATGACTGTAAAAAGGTTATATATGAAATTCAACCAAAAACAACCTCCAAAACTCTTTACCCAAAATGACTTAGTTTAAAGAATTTCGACACTGCATCTATAAAACGTTATGGAAAACCAGATTTTCAGACAATCTTACTTATAATACCTTCACTAAAAGTGTTGCTATTTTGGAAAGAAATACACGGATATTTTTAAACATAATGTTAGAAATCAAATGTTTTGAATGAAGGAGTGGAAGTTCTTTTTCGAGGAACGTAAAAGTGTCAATGTCTCTATGTCAAGTTTTATGCTTAACTGTTTTGACGCGGAGTCATTCAAATGCCTTTTTTTTAATTTTAAAAATCGGACAAATCATAATATGTTACGTAAAAAATGTGATTTAAAAATGCATAAACCTTCTACATTATTAGGCTGGAGTGATCCCTGGTAAACGAAAATATGTTTCTATATTTTCATGTTTTCACTTTTTCAGAGTAGGTATTTGGGTATGAATATATTTGATCATATTTGGTTTGGCTCTGGTGTTCAATGATGCCACAGGACCGAGTACCCCGTGTTGTCCAAAAAATATCGCATAATCTGGTTTCCGCAAGACAGTGACGGAAACTATGAAGCCACAGTAGATCGCTCTGGATACTGGATACTGAATGATTATGGGAATGAAAATTTCAAGCATTGATTCTAACAATAATTTAGAGAGAATTTGGCATTCGAAGTTAGTGCAAAGATTTTTAATTTACACCTAGCTGCCTAACAACGCTCGATGTTAAAATCTACTCATGTTAAAAGATTGCTAGTTTAGTCGCGAATTACTTAACTGTGGAAATTACACTTTATTTTCACTGTTTTTGAAATATTAATCCGTTTTGTTCTCTACCGGTAAAACCTGAGGAGACTATATGTTTCCTCTGCACCTGTCCGTCCGTACGTCTCTCTGTCCCCATGTCTCTCAGTATATATCCCACTTGGTTTTCCGCACTTTTTTGTAAACACTTGCAGATATTGAGCTGAATTTTGGTATGCGACTTGATGAGTCCCCGATCAAATTTGAATGTCGTTTCGCTTCATTGATATTTGACAAAATCATGGCATTTCATTTTTTCATTATGTTTTAAGATCGGATTCGTGCTGCGTTTCATTCCGAAGTTCAACATGGTTAATTGAAGCGAGCAAAAAAAGAAGTTAAAAAATAAGTTGAATTTCGTCTTTATAAGGAATTATTTTTTTAGGTTAATGGCATGCACAACCAAAAATTTTTACATCAAGCCGTTTTACCTTGGTCATAAAAAAGTGGGGAACCCGGTTAGGGACATGTATTGCTTATGAAACACTCTCAGAATATGCTGTTTAATTTGCTCAAATTAGTATTTCATGTTTAAAAGAACTCTGAACGATAGCATTATTCTACCGCTTACCGCCAAGTCATTTTTTCAAAAGTTAACAGATTCGAATAATTTTTAATATTTATATTGATACCTATATGGGTTTTTAGAAAACATTACTTATTGGAAATAATATGAAAACAAAAATATTTTCAATAACATTTCCCTTCCCTTAAACAACAATTCCTTTGCAAAGATCATTTCACAAATTAATACCAAAGCCTTTTGTGTTTCACGGGGGGGGGGGGGGGGGGGGGGGGGGGGGGGGGGTAATGATATAGACAAAAAACTTATAATTTAAGCAATGCCCAAGTGCTTCACAAATGAAACATTTTATTTTAAAAATACGTTTATACTGTAAATCGTTTTAATTTCATGTTGTCAAAATTTCACGATATCTCTTAAAGTACCATTTGCGATTTTTTAATTTCACACTGCAAGAAAATTATTTCAGGTTCTTTAACTCATTTACATATCTTTAAAAACTAATGATACAACAATCACGATATGTTGAATTTCGCGGGAAAATTATAAATCGCGAACATTGTGAAATTAAATCAATCGTACCATCGTAAATATTTGCCAATCCACGGTATATTGTTTATTTTCATATGCGTAAAACATAAGGAACTTGCAATACTATTTCAAAAAACATGTGGAAACATCTTATTTCAAGAGATGGAATTAGGGACAATTACTTTTACCCATAGTATTAAAATGATTAATCAATTACATTTGAACTGTTCTTTGTATTAAACAAAGATTTTATGGACAAATTGTCATTGAATTAAATGGTTGTAAAATCTAGGCGATAAACGAGAGTTTGCGTGCGTAGTTCTTTCAATAATATCAAAATCTAAATTCAAATTATAATAAACTTACTTGTGTCACATTTATCTCCCAGCCATCCAGTTAGACATCCGTCAATGCATGATCCGTTAAACCGATCACAAAAGTGTGGAGTGGAACAATATTTACTACATCTCTCCAAACAATCTCTACCATACCAGCCAGAATTGCATTCTAGAATTGGCAAAAAAATAATATTATTATGTTAAATTGTTCATTCTTTTCAACTCTTACTTCACAAAACATCTGATTTTGTCATACGAAGGGCGTCAATTTAATAATGATTTTTGAAGATTAGGTCGTATTCAAAATCAAAAAATTCCCAGTATGAATACTGCACATTATACTGCTGTGTTTCCTCATTACCAAATTTACATTTCGACCAACATTACAACTGTAAGCGAAATAATAAAGTGTTACATCTAAATTTCTTTGGTACATCAATTAAAAAAATCTGGCACCGAGGTTATAAAACTTAAAGCGTACTCATACTCCAGCTCAAACTCCAAACTCCCAGTATGAACTCCACTGAGTACGTTTCTAAATTTGAGGTTATAAAAATTTACGATCTCCACTGAGTCGGTATAAAAAAGTCATTTACATGAAGGTATGACGCATAAGAACCCCCCTCTCACCAGCCGAAATGAATTTTCACATTTAGGGAAGGACTTTACATTTTTTTTCTTGTCAAGAAATTTCTAGGTTTGATTTTTTTTTACCAGAGTGACCCT